TAATAGATCTAGATTGAAACTGAAAAATACATATAAATATTTTTCTAAAAGGTGTGAGGAGATTGACTGGAAACATTGTTTCATTATAGAGTTTTGTTGATTGTAAATACCTGAGTAATCTCATGCTTTGTCCTAATAATGGCTCATGAGAAGGGCATAGGAACATAGAAGAAGTGGGCTGTGCTAACCACGACACCTCTACTGACAGGAAAAAAAGGCCATTACTTTTCAGCAAAAGCGCAACATAATTAATTAAGGGCTGGATTTAATTCAGGGACATTTGAATTTTATAGCTATACACTTGCAGCTATAAAAACCACCTTTATTATTAAAATTCCTGTAGGAAAAATAACTTGGTAATTGTGAGTCTAAAACTCTGGTCCCTAACCTCATTTCCCCATTGGCGCAGTTGTTTTTACAACACAGTGAGGCAACTCCTGTGTTGGAGTAGGACAGGTTATGTTTTTAACAAGTGCCCTGGGGATTCAGAGGCAGCCAGTCTGCAGACAAGGATTTGAGACCCCCTGTAGCAAGCACTGGCCTTTAGGTCAAAGATCTGATGTCCAGTTTAGGCTAATTGTTTGCCAGCTCCGTGATTTTGGACAAACCATGGAGACTTTCTGAGCCTATGTTCCTCATCTATGTAAAAGATAGGGATGTTTTAACTGACTCTCCTCAGCATTGCTATGGGGAGGGTCCAGAAAATGCCCATCGCACACCATACATTTTTTTTTTTATTGAATAGATATTCATTAAGGACCTACTATGTTCCAGGACTAGGCAGGAGTGAAGAAGATCATGTAATCTCCCTGCTTTTATGGAGATTACATGATGAGGAATAGTGGAAGAGGGGGGTGTAGAGGACACACAGGGACATTTCTGATACCTGTAGTCTTGTCAAAATGTAAGTTGTCATTGAGATACATCTGTGCGCTTGAAGGGGAGCAAGTGGGTGCATGCATTGAGTGGAGCAATTGGGAAGAGTCCTACCTGGAGATATTACTTGCATAGAGATCTGAATGCTAGAAGAAGAAAGCCATGTGGACATCTGTAGGTGGAGAGTGTCAGAGACAGGGAACAGCCAGGGGAAACGAGCAGCTGGATTAGAGAAGAGGAGGACGGCTGGAGTGCTGGGGCACAGTGGCTCACAGGGAGTGTGGTCTCAGTGAGTTAGGGGGGCAGGTTGCAGGACCTTATTGTGTAGGGGATAGTTGGTCATAAAAAGGAACTAAAATTTTTATGGCACTGAAAAGCACTGGAAAATTGAGGCAGAAAAGCAATGTGACCTGATTCATGTTTTAGAAAGATCACTCTGGCTGTCACTGGAAAAGTCTATAGTGAGGCTACAATGGGAGCGAGGAGACCAGGCAGGCCATGCAGTTGTCCAGCTAGAGTTGAAGGCAGCATAAGTTACAGCCCAGAGATGCAGCTTAGATTTAGTGTAGATTTGAAGGTAGAGCTGAGTAGCTTCCTAAGAGCTGAGAGGGAAGGTAAGTATGCCAACAGAAATTCAGTGCTATTCCATCTGCCTTCTCCTGTTATTGCCCTGCATTTATTTGTAATACAGACACATCATAGTGGTACTGAATTACTAATCCTCACTTCACAGCATACATAATCTCAGATGTACGGAAGATGGGCAGAGTAAGGGAACAGGCCCCACACAGCCCCATAGACATGGGGAGCCCATGCACACCCCCCATGAGCACTCTTATGCAAGTTTCCATTCTTAAACACAGTTCTGGTGAGCTTGGTGTCCTACATCTGCAGGGAAATCAAAAATGGGAGAGGAGGATAAAGAGGGACAGCTTCTAACAGGAGGCTATGTGACCACAAAAGAGGAATAAAGGAAGAATACATGAGGAGACAGCAAAAAGTATAAAAAGCAGGTGTAAGACTCCAAAGCGCATTTCTAAATTAAGGTTTCCTCCACATTTAACGAGGGCAGAGAAGAGTGGATACCGTTGTAGAATGTCCTGCCTATAAAATTGTTAAAACAAAATTAAATCCACTTGACTTACAAAAGATTAGGCTTGAGGTATATGAAATGATCTCATGTGGACCCTTATTTCCCCAAGGTACTCAGTAAATGAATCTTTTTATTGTATTTTATGGTCCTGTGCATGAAGTGCTGTATTTTCTACTCAGCTGATAAAAGCCCATTAAAATGTAATGTGCACAGAATTTCTACTTCCGGGAAGAAGGCCTAGATGGCTTAGTTGAACTTTTCCCTATTCTTCCCATTAATGACAACTAAAACCCCTGATCATTATATATGGAACACACATAAGAAGACTGTAAAGTGGAGAGAAGAAAGAAGATTGGTCAGAGACACTAGAAACTAAGGAACAGCTCACACAACTCACTTAAATGCAAATTCGTTGAGCTCTATTTTTGGCTCGGATATCCCAAACTTGGAGCTGAAGAAGCTGACTACCAGAAAATGCCAATGTGTACTGGAAAACCCTGACTAAAAGCTCGCTGTTTCCATCCAAAGGACCAGGAAAGGGGCAGCATAGCAAGACAGAAAATGCTTAGAAAATACTGGTCTTCTCTGGCCAAGCACCAGGGAAAACACTGAGACCCACCACCACATACCAGCAAAGGCTGAGTAGGGAGCCTCAACCTCCCTCTTGGACAGACTGAAACAGGAACCCCCAGAGGATGGGGGCAGGGAGGGCAAAGATGCTCCTTCCCACCAAGCAAGGCACAGTGCTTGTGGCAGGTGAAGTGGTATAGCCTCTCTGGCAAATGATTCAGCAGTTTCTAAAAACCCTGACCAGGTAATTGCCATTTGACCTAGAAATTTCAGTCCTTCCTAGGCATTTATGCCAGAGAAATAAAGACCTGTTCCCACAGATACCTATCCCAAAATATTTAAGCAGCTTTATTAGTATCAGTCAAAACCTGGAAACAACCCAGATGTCCTTCAGCAAATGAATGGTAACAAACTGTGGTACATCCATGCCATGGACTACTACTCAGTAATAAAAAGGAACAAAACATTGGTACATAAACCATGACATCATGTGAGACCTGGGTGAACCTCCAGAGAACTTTTCTGACTGAAAAAAATCCAGTCACAATAAGTTACATACATAAATTATACATGATTTCATTTATATAACTCTCTTGAAATGATAAAATTATGGAAATAGAAACTCTACTAATATATGCCAAAGAATTAAAGAGGGATTGGAGATATCATGAGGGATCATTTGTAGTGATGGACATACTCTATAATATAACCTTATTGATGCAATATTGATATTATAATATTGTACTCTGGTTTTGTAAGATGTTCCTGTTAGGGGAAGCTGGACAAGTGGGCACAGGATTGATTGCCCTGCATTATTTCTTTTTTTTCTTTTACTATTTCTTTAAATGTTTTATTCTAATTTCTTATATGTAACAGCAGAATGCATTACAATTCATATTACACATATACAGCACAATTTTTCGTATCTCTGGTTGTATATAAAGTATGTTCACAGCATTTGTGTCTTCATACGTGTACTTAGGGTAATGATGTCCATCTCATTCCACCATCTTTTTTACCCCCATGTCCCCTCCCTTCACCTCCTTCCCCTTTGCCCTATCTAGAGTTCATCTAATCTTCCCATTCTCCCCCTTCCAACCCCATTATGAATAAGCCTCCTTATATCAGAGAAAACATTCAGCATTTGGTTTTTTGGGATTGGCTAACTTCACTTAGCATTATGTTCTCCAACTCCATCCATTTATTGCAAGTGCCATGATTTTATTCTCCTTTATTGCTGAGTAAGATCCCATTGTTTTCTTTTAATAATATTAGTAATATTCCATTTTCTTTATCCATCCAGCTATTGAATGATATCTAGGTTGGTTCCACAGTTTAGCTATTGTGAATTGTGCTGCAATAAATATTAATGTATTAGAGAAAAAATGGTGCTTGGAAAACCACATGCAATAAAATGAAATTAAACCCCTATCTCTCACCATGCACAAAACTCAACTCAAAATGGATCAAAGACCTATGAATTAAACCAGAGACCCTGCAACTAATAGAAAAAAAAAGTAGACCCAAATCTCCATTACATCAGATTAGGCCCCTAATTCCTTAATAAATCTCTTATAGCACAAAAATTAAAATCAAGAATTAATAAATGGGATGGATTCAAACTAAAAATCTGCTTCTCTGCAAAAGAAATAATCAGTGATGTGAATAGACAGCCTACAGAATGGGAACAAATTTTTACCACACTTACATCAGATAGAGCACTAATCTCTAGGGTATATAAAGAACTCAAAAAGCTAAATACCAATAAAGAAAAAAGAAACCCAGTCAATAAATGGACCAAGGAACTGAACAGACACTTCTCAAAAAGGTGATATACAATCAATCAACAAATATATGAAAAAATGTTCATCATCTCTAGCAATTAGAGAAATGCTAATCAAAACTACTCCAGTCAGAATGGCAGCTATTAAGAATACAAACAATAGTAAGTGTTGGCAAGGATGTGGGGAGAAAGGCACATTCACACATTGCTGGTGGGACTGCAAATTGATGCAGCCAATATGGAAAGCAGTGTGGAGATTCCTTGGAAATCTGGGATTGGAACCACCTTTTGGCCCAGCTGTCCCTCTCCTCGGTCTATATCCAAAGAACTTAAAAACAGCATACTACGGGACACAGCCCTGCATTATTTCTTATGACTAAATGTGATTTGACAATTTTCTCCAAAAAATTTAAAAACTAAACCCTAAAAGTGTAACCTCCAGAGTCACTTATTAATTTAATAATTAAAATGCATCAACCATCCTAATTGGTGTACCATGCCCTGTCTTCAGACTCTTCAATCCTTGCTTTTCCTGAGAGCTCCAGGGAAGGCAGGTCAGTGGGTGGGTAGACGATTTATCTTGTGCAGAGACAATTTTCATTGGTTGTCCTGTGTTTCAACAAAATGCCCCACAGCCATAACTGTCAAGTGACACTTCACACTCTTTCCCATCTTCAGGAAAGCCGCTAGTGAAAACATCGCGAATGACCGTGGTCAACACAGAGAAGCCTGCAGTCACTGTGGATGTAGGAAGCACCATCAAAACAGTGCAGGGTGCCAATGTGACAATTAATTGCCAAGTCGCAGGTGAGAAATTCATTCCTGTACTAAATCATTCAAATTAATGGTGTCTTGGGGAAGGTTTGGAGGGTACAAAGACAAATTAGTCACAAATCCTGCTCTGGGAACTCAATGCTGGTAGGAATACTGAAGCAGGAACCTCAGTTACTCAGAAAGTGCAAAGTGCTATGAATGTTGACAGGAGGGAAGAACATTCTGTATGGGACAGATGAGTTAAAAGAGACTGTAGGGATTTTTATTAATATTATTTTAACAGATATATCATATTTTATATATTTATGGGGTACAACTTGATGCTTATAGTGCAAGGTAATTAAATCAGGCTAAGTGACATGTTCATCAGTTTGTTTCCCTGTTGTTTAAGGTGTTTTGGTTTTGCTTTTTACTCTTCCATACTGATAGAATGTGAATGTGCGAAGATGAGGGCAAAGGGTTCCGAACAGACCATCCCTGGCCCTTAGGAAGCCTCCAGGCTGTGCAGGCACACATAAGCTTTAGTCAGGGTGGAGCCCAGAGTGCAGCCATGGTGTGGAGGCAAGGTGGGCAGCGCCCGGGAAACCATGAATGCCTGGCCAGGGAGTCCTGAGAAAGGCAGAGTGACTCTGAGGCCTCTGATGGATTGAGAAAGGAGAATAGGACAGAGGGGCAAGGTAAGAGTGAGAGAGGACCTACTGAAGAGACGAAATGCCTGTTTGCTGGCCTCTCCAGTAAAGATCAGATGAGCATGAGAGAGAGAGAGAGAGGAGGTCACAGCAAAAGGAAACCGGAGCTTACTCAAATCAGAAGTGGGCAGGAGTCGCTGAAGACAGCAGTGTGTCAGGAATTGTGATGCAGACATTCCTTTCCAGAAGGCCTTGCAGAGGCCACACAGGACCAAAATGTCACAGGGCAGTGAGCAATAGGGGACAGACGGGTGGAGATTGTGAGTAGTCCATCCCACAGTGGAATGGAGATGGGAAAGTGTCTTGTGCCAGGAGCAGCTCCAGTATCCCCGTCACTCTGCTCCTTGGCTATGCCCCACTGGCCACCCATACCCAAATTCAAGCTCCCCAGTTACATCCTGTCATTGAGTGTCAAGCAGTGACATCCCCTGCTCTGGGAGTTTCTTCATCTTAGATCTCATCCCCATCATCTACCTCCAATTGTAATTTGCAATGCTAGAAGACCCATTTTATAGTAAGTAGGATGAAGATCTTACTCTGAGACATGTTGTTTCCAAAGAATAGCCAGGTCTGATTTTCTCTGAACTGTCCTAAGAGCTTTAACATATCTGAATCAGACATCTATCTTTGTAGCTGTGCATTAGTGCTTTGTAAAGCTTCCCTTGGCCGGTGCATTCAGCCTCCTCAGCAAAGCTTCTAGAACCAAATCCTTGCAGGTCTTGTATTCCCAGGTGGGGAGTAAGACAAAGTCAGTGACAGGGCTTCCCATGAATGAGCTGCCCCTCTGCAGGTATGCGTTGTACCTACAGAGCAATCATACCCACCTGACCCCTGGGACAGGCACCTCCAAGACAAACACTGTCCTGAGATATGAGGGACCTTGTGTGTCTCTTTCTGATTGCTGGGGTTGTAAAAGTATCAGAAAGGAACAAGGAGCAAAACAAGGAACTGGAAATTTGAAGGAGATTAAGAGAATCAGACCCCAGGTGAGGAGGTATTTCCATAGGGAGCCTAGAACATTAAAAGAAGCTTTGACCCATTCTTGCATTCTATCTGAAGACCCATCCCTTGGATTTCATCCAGAGACTCAGTTGGTGACCCAGAGCCCAGGTTATTGTTTACAGTTTTTGCCTAACTATGATATTATAGTATTTATTATTATTATTATTATCGATAAAATGATCCTGATTAACTAAAAATAAATCTTTGTGTTTCTGTCATTTTCCCTGTTGTTTCGACAAGATAATTGTTCAAAGCGGGTGGGAAGGAGCCTGCTTTTGGTTACACAGTGAACTTGCTGGACAAGCTGAGTCCCCAGTCAGCTACAGAGCTGCTAAATGCCAAATGGCAGAAGGAGCTACTTTCACTTTCCTGCTGTAATTGGCTTTTGTGGTCCTCTCTCTATACTTGATCCTCTCTACCAGGGGCTTAGGGACCTCCCAACTGGCTGGGCAAAATTCTCTAAGCCCCAGCAACATTTGCCAGTAAATGACAATGAACTAAGCTTGAGAATGAGCAAGCCAGGCCTGGTTTTAGGCAGGGAAGGGACTCCATAAGTGCCTGCTTACAGGCTTCATGTCAGATTTACTTGTGTTCTTCCTTGGTGGTTTTTCATTGAATATCTGATCCAGGTTAGATTGGATATCTTTTAATCCAAGGAGACATGGATGAAAATGGTAGAACTTTCAGGAAGTTCACTGGAAGAAGAAAAGTTAATGAATCCACAATTATAAAACAATGTGATATGTATATACAGTTGTTGCTTTCTTATGAAATATTGAAGTAGTGAAGAAAACAGAAAAATAAAGGGTCATAAAGGAAAGAAAATAACTTGTTCAAAGTCCCACTGGCCAGACTCAACCACAGAGGACTTTGAAGCATATATCCTTAATTTTTACATTTCATCCACTTCCTTTTCACACAATAATTAACACTATCCGTGTCATGAGCCTACTTTTAATGGATATATAATAATTTAAGAATATTACATTATCTACCTAGACTGACTCATGTCCTCATATCTTTGCATTATTAGCAGTTTTTCATTAAACATCGTTCTGCACACATCTTGTGCTCTCGACTTGTTAAATATATTTCAGCAATTCTTTCCAACCTTCAAGCATAAAAAGCATTAAGCAACGAGTATGGTGGGGCTTTTTTTTTTTTTTTTTTTGAGGATGATGCAACCCATCATACCATTCTCACCCTTGTTCTCTACTTCATAAGAGTTCAGAACCTGCGTAGAAAACAAAAAATCAAGGGAGGACAGCGCATTCCTGTTATTCAGAACAGCATGCACAAAAGGCCTGAGGCAGAAAGAAAATGCTGCCTTTTAAAAAGTGAAATATGGCTGGTGTGAAAAATATGACTGATAGTCTGGAAGGCCGAGAGCAAAAGGAGTATATGAGGCTGGGAAGTAGGGGCCAGCAAGGGCCAGGTCTTTCATAGATTATGGTACCATTTAGGTTTTTATCCAAAGAGTGAAGGATACTTTTGAAGGATTTAAGAGATAAGATTAACAGAACTAGTGGTGGAGACATAAATGGTTCAGGAGCCAATTATTAGGTGGTATATTAGTTAGAGGAAGTTAGACTATGGAATCCTACAGTACATTTGGGGTCACTGATTCAGAGGGCTCTGTTATCTTGAACATAAGCCCGGGAGGTTATCTCTATCCTGTGAATCAGAGAGGGGAGAAACAGTAGAGGATGGTTGGGCAGGTTTTCAAGGGCCACACCTAGAAGTAGCACACATTCCTACTTTTCACTTTCCTTAGACATGTGGTAACTACATGGGATGCCAGAAAATGTATCCATACTGAGTACTCAGGAAACAGAAGAAAACTGGTTTGTGAATGGCTATTAGCATCTGCCAGTCAGACTGGAGAATTGTGAAAGGCCAAAACCTTTCCAGGATGCCACAGTTCTGTAAAATAATTGCCAAAGCCGACATCTGAATTACTTTCTCTTTTCTTGCACCAAGTCACCCTCTCCCCATCAAAGAAATTTCTAGAACTTACCATGTAAAAGTACACCTTGGGATGCCCCACCTCAAGATGCTGACAAGCTGCCATGGTACAAGCAGCTTTCCAAATATAACAAATGGTCCAGTTAGCAAGAATATCCTGTCGGGGATATTTAAAAAAAAAAAAAAAAAAGATATTATAGCATCACGCTTCCTGGCAGCTCAGTGGAGATTAAAGGCACTAATCCTCATAATCGTATCCAGTTACAACCCATTCTGACGAGACCCATTTATTGATCCTTTCAAGCAACAGGGAGAACATTGTGTTGTTGGTAAGATACGCCACAAGGGGAGAAAGCAAACACACGTTCTTTTGGTTTCCTTTTTTTTTTTTTTAAGACACAAATAATACCAGGGAATCCAGTGTGGAGCCAAGCCAAGTCACTGGTCTACAGCTTTGAACTTTGTTTTATGATGGAGTGCATTTTCTACCATTTTTAAGGTGTTTCTTTCTATAGAGTGTACTGTCACCTTACAATTTAGGTGAGGGTTAGAAAAAAAAAAAAGAAAGAAAAGGAAAAAAAACCTCCTGACCATGTTTTCCAGCAAGAGAAAACCAAGAAAGCCAACACTTATGGATTCTGGAACCCTCCTTCCTAACAAAAATATTATTGTTACAATGGCAGGAGAAAGACTGATTTTGAAGTCAAAAAGTGTTTCAGAATGTCATAGTTCAGAAATAAGAACACAGAAGTTTAGATATTCTCTAAAGAGGCTGTCTGGTGTCATGGCGGGATGTGCTGTAACCTGCTGAGATGGGGATTCTCTCAAAGGCATCTCCATTTGGACCCATGCTGCCATTGTGGGTTTGGATGGGAAATAGGAGGGCAGAGACTCTGCCCCCTTCTAATTACTCAGAGATCCAAACTAACATGACTTTAGGCAGATTTCTTAATCCCTTTGAGCCCTAGTCTTCTCATCTATAAATGTAGTTAATAATATAGTACCTGCTTCATGGGATTGTTGTCTATAGTTTGGTTTACAACAAATGTTTAGTAGATATTACTTCTCCCCATGGTGTTCAGGATACTTTTCCATAGCTCAGCACACTTGGTACCTCAAGGGAGTCTGAACATCAATATTAGGCAAGCATATTTAATACCTTTTCAAGGGATTCTGTGGCACATCCAAGGCATAGTGAAGTTTCCTAAAACGTCATTGTCACGCTGTCACCTTTCCTCCCTCTTTTCCTCTTCCTCCTCCTTTTCTTCTCCCCCTGACTCCATCTCTCATTGGGGGTGGGATGTACTGGGGATTGAACCCAAGGGCACTCTACATTTCAACTCCATCCCCGGCCCTTTTTATTTGGAGACAGGGTGGCCCTCAACTTGTGCTCCTCCCTCTTTCTCTTCTTTACAAGTCACTGGGATGACAGGAGTGGGCCCCTGCATCCAGCTCATCATATCAGATCTTAAGAGAAAAAGGGAAATGAGCTCTATGATGCCTCAGTTGCTTTTTCTCTTTCTTTATTCTATGTTCACAATGTCAGCCAAATGTTTCCAAATGTCTTTTAAGTGGCATTCTCTGCCTAAGGCCAACAGTCCCTGGCAGGAAGCCCCCCAAATGTGGCACCGGCAACAGTCCATCAGCAAACGCGTGATGCAGGTCTGTGCTCCAGTGAGTCTGGGAGAGGTTTGCTAATGAAGACCCTGGGATGCCTGTCACTGTGTGGTTCCAGTTTTATAGAAACTGCAGGCTCCTTCCTTGTATTGTTTTCTATCCTGAACATTTTCATTTCTGCCATGAATACCCTTGCTCTTCCTCCAGAGAAGTTTAACCTTTTCGGTACATACTTAGTCTTGTCCTCTCAAGCCAAATTTTATGGGTTCATGAGGCAAAGGGTAATACAGAGAAGGGAAAAGTCACACAACCAGTTCCTAAGGAAGCTGAGCAGCAACTCCCAGGCCTTTCTCCATCCCTGGGTTCCCTGGCTCCTTCCCCTCTCCCTCCTCTCTCCGTCTCATTTGTCCTTATTTTCTCTCTCCCCTGCATCTCTCAACCTCTGGCTACCCTGCAGGGGCCCAGGCTCAAACCCAAAGAGGACTGAGTGGTGAACAGCCCTCAGTCTCCTTCAGGATGCTTCAATGTCACACCTAGAGGAAGCTGTGGCGGATGCCTGTGGAGACCCTCACTCCTGCCCTGCGGGGAGGAGTTCGCCTTGTGTTGAGAAAACTAGAGGCTCATTTCATCCAGTTCTCTACTCTGCCTGCTTGCTCTAGAATTGTCTTAAGGGACTGTGTGCCTTCTGCCCACAGCCCTCCTCAAAAAAGAATGTCAGCAGGAAGTGCTACACCTGAGAAATTCAAGGGAAAGGAGATGAATATGAATGATATGTAGGACCCCATTTCCCCCTGTGCTTTCAGGAGAGAAATAACTGGAACTCTTTTTTTTTTTTTTTTTTACCTACTTTTCAGAGGCTTTCTACTAAATACTGTGGATTTTTTTTTTTTTTAATGTAAAATCTGAGCTCAAGGTCCAGAGTCCAAGCTGGCATGGTCAGGCATCATGATGCTCTTGCTCTCCCTAGTGGTGCTACATTGAAAAATCAGTTTTTCTGCCCCTCATGTAGGCATCTTTAGAGATGATGCCCCTCTCACACAAGTGAGCACCAAGCATCACATCATTTAAGCTGAATTAGTGTGTGTCTCTCCTGAGGTGATGTCCTGCACTATCAAGTCTCCACCCCTTTTCATTAGCCCTGCCTCTCTTCTTCCAACCAGTTTCAAGGATGGGTAACAGGTACACAGGTAACTACTTGAAGACTTCAGTGTCCCTAACAGTCGTCTGGCCAGTGAAGGCAACACTGCCCTTTGCCCCAGTGGCAAACTTCAGCCCAACTCAGAGAAAGTGCTGGACTAAAGGTCTGCCTTTTTGGTTTTTCTTGGCATTGACCCCATTTTCCAGGATTTGACTTTCTAAACATGCTCTGGAGACTTGCCCAAGAGTTGTAGGAGTAAACTTCATGAACTGGATCAGAAAGCTGGGTGATGTAAGGGATGAAGCGTTTGTCTCCTGGGAGACCTGTGAATCGATGCCATAGACTTTCAGTCTCTCTGTTCACTCAGAGCCCAGCCTCCTACAGAACCTCCCTCAAGGACCATCCAGGAGAACTTACCTTCAACGGGGGCCTGCGTACCAGCTCATCCACCACAGGGAGATTTCCCCAGGAGTTCAGGCTGTCCAGTTTTACAGAAACTGCAGGTTCCTTCCTTGTATCATTTCCAAAGACAGGCAGCCATCCCACAGCAGCACAGCCTCCCAGCTCTCAAAGACCACAGACATGGGTTGTGGTGGGGGACAGACCTCTCCTTTGGACTATTTCCTGTGGTGCCACTGGTGCCCCATCTCTGTTCTCTCATTCTGAGACTATATAGGCTTCTGTGTTCATCACTTCCCTGTCACTATAACAAAGCATCTGCAATAATCAACTTATGAAGACAAAAATTATTATTTTAGCTCACAGTTCTGGAAGTACTAGTCCATGATCGGATGCCTTGTTGCTTTGGACCTATGGCAAGGCAGCACACCATGGTGGGAGCAAGTGTCAGAGCTAAACCCATTCACTTCTTGACCAGGAAGCAGAAAAGAATGAGGAGAAGGCTGAGGTCCCCCTCCAGTGACTACAGACCTCCCCCTAAGCCTCACTTCTTAAATAGGACCACTCTGGGGACAAGCCTTTGATGCATTGCCCTTTGGAGAGTAGTCAAGATCCAAACTATAGCAGCTTCCAAAAATGCAAGCATGGTTTGTTCACAGAGTATCGGCTCTAATAAGGATCTAGCAGCTTTTATTTGTCTAGTTCAGACATATATTTTAATGTCTTATAGCCTTTAACTTTTTATTAAACATATCTATATAAGAAAGTACACATATCATAAAGATACCAAGTAAACACTCCTTACCCATCCAGCCAGATCAAGAAGCATTTCCAGTAGCCCAGCCCACGTTCCCTCTCTCAGTCACAACCCCTCTGCACCCATCCCACTTCCTTAGGGGAACCACCACCCTCACTACTCACCCTCACTACTCATTAATGTTACCAGTTTGGGCCTTCTACTTACAGAAATGAATTCATAATATATATATTCTTATATGTGGCTTTTCTTAATAATGTGTTGTCTCATGCAGTTGTAGAGCCTTCATTTTCATGAATACATAGATTTGAGGTTTTTTATTTTTAAAAAGTCTTTTCCAAATAATTTGGATACTTTAGCAAGTGCCCTTTACTGGCTGCCTGTTTCCTCTTCTTTTAATTGGCCTCTCTCTTCCTGCCTCATCAGTGTAGGATTTAAAAGGCAAAAGATCTGGAGACAACTCAAAGGTCCAAGGTGTTATTTAGTTTGGCCAAAAGATACAGAAGACGCCCAGGCAGATGCTTCCTCAGAGTAGCCACAGGAGGACCAGCCAAGAGGCTGTAAACGCCTCTGCATTCACCTGAATATGTTTGGCTAATGGAATTTTTTTTCCCCCCCTTAGGTGTGCCTGAAGCTGAAGTCACTTGGTTCAGGAATAAAAGCAAACTGGGCTCCTCTCACCATCTGCACGAGGGCTCCTTGCTGCTCACAAATGTGTCCTCCTTGGATCAGGGCCTGTACTCCTGCAGGGCAGCTAATGTTCATGGAGAGCTGACTGAGAACACCCAGCTCCTGATCCTAGGTAAAAACCTCAAAGCTCACTGCCTTGGTGGACACCAGGAGGTAACTCTCCAACCCATCCTCCATCTCCTTGTTTTCCTGATTCCATGAAGGATGTAAAAGGCAAATTCAGTAGACCAGGGGCCAGGCATACATGAGCTTGAACCCTGGCTCTGCCTCTTACTTACTGTGTGGCCTTGAGCAAACTCCTGCCCCTGGCTGGTCTTAGTTGCTGGAGGCCTACCAAACAAGGACTGCCCACATTGCAGGGGAAGCAGGAGTGTCAAAAAAGGTAACAGATGTAAAGCAATTAGTCTTAACTCCTGTGCTGAAGATTTCTAGAGAACCAGATGAAAACTATGAAATCCCCTCCACAGAAATATTCGCATGTAAGATTTTTTACATAGTTCCAGGAAGTTCATAATCTAGGCCACATAGCCTCCACATGCATGTCCCAAATAGAGGAACCCCTGACTAAAGAGTGTAGCACAGTTCCTGGCATAAAATAGGTTTTTAAAAATAAGAACAAAGCTAGGGCACCATCCACCAGCTGATGTTGCTCAGCACTGAGCTCCGCCATCTTGCTTGTTTGTTCTCTAGACTAGGGACGCTCTACTGTTCTTCCTACTGAGTCTGGGGGTTAATAAAATAGAGATGTAAAAAGCTTTGGGGGTGGGGGTCTTACTCTTTAAAAACAAATTATTGGAGTATTTGGGCTTGTTTTCTCACCAAGAGAAAGCTGTCATTCTAAGGGGAAAATATGAAAAACAGTTATTTGCCACACATACATACGTAAACATACCTTATGCACGTCCTTAAGGGGAAAATAATTAGGCTTCTGTTTTCGTATCCAAAGTTGATGATAAAGCAAAGCACATCTGCCCACTCAGATTTCATGCCTTAGATGGAGGTTTTTGTCACTGGTAGCTGCATAAACCTCCAATCTTCATAGGAAGCCACAGAAAATTGGCTGAGAGAAAGAAGGATGTTATTTGTTTTGCACTGGGTTTCAGCCAGCTCTGCTGCTAGTGTGGAGCCTAGAGGCCAGGGACTATTACCCCACACTGAGTTATGGTACTTGTTGATGGTTTTCTCTCCCTAGTAACCCTTCCATGCTGTTTCTGCTAACAGATGAAAGTCTAAGATGGTGGCTGCTCCTGGGGTGTTGCCAGTGAGGTGTGTGTGGTCTGTGAGCCACCTACTTGGTTCCTGTTGCATCCCAACCCTAACACAGTGTGACCATGAATATAGTGTTTGAAGGGCACAAAGTCTTCCCATTTTAATCCAACGTGGTGGGGAAAAATTCACTATGAAAACTCTTAACTTCAGGACTTTTCTTTTTTTATTGATTTTTTTAAAAAAAATAAACGACAGCAGAATGCATTACAATTCTTATTATATGCATACAGCACAATTTTTCATATCTCTGGTTGTATATATAAAGTATGTTGACACCAATTCGTGTCTTCATACATGTACTTTGGATGATGATGCCTATCACATTCCACCATCCTTGCTAATCCCCTGCCCCTTCCTTTCCCTCCTACCCCTCTGCCCTAACTAGAATTCATCTATTCCTCCCATGCTCCCCCTCCCTACCCCATTGTAAGTCAGCCTCCTTAAGACAAACAATAATAAGTGTTGGCGAGGATGTGGGGAAAAAGGTACACTCATACATTGCTGGTGGAACTGCAAATTAGTACAGCCTATGTGGAAAGCAGTATGGAGATTCCTTGGAAATCTGGGAATGGAACCACCATATAACCTAGCTATCCCTCTCCTCGGTTTATAACCAAAAGACTTAAAAACAGCATACTACAGGGACACAGCCACATCAATGTTTATAGCGGCACAATTCACAATAGCTAAACTGTGGAGCCAACCTAGATGCCCTTCAGTGAATGAATAGATTTTAAAAAATATTGCATATATACACAATGGGATTTTACTCAGCAATAAAAGAGAATAAAATCATGGCATTTGCAGGTAAATGGATGGCGTTGGAGAAGATAATGCTAAGTAAAGTTAGCCAATCCCAAAAAAACAAATGCTGAACGTTTTCTCTAATCTAAGGACTTTTCTTGATCCAAGTCTTGGTTTCTTAATAATTAAGATTGTCAGTTTTTATAGGTACATTAGAAACACAGAAGACATAACTTTTAATCAACAAAAATGTGGCTTAATTTTTTAAAGGGGGTATTATGTATAAAGCTGATGGCAATTTCTGTGACTTAATCTGTAACATAAAGTATGCAAAATAATGAGATAGAGTCTAGATGAATAAATGAATCTCCATACTACTTTCCACATTGGCTGCACCAATTTTCATTTATTCATCTAGATGAATAAATTAATTCACTGGATGAATATTCAGAGTGCTACCTCTATGTCCATGTACACTGGACTCTGGTAAGAGCTTTAGGAGAAATGTAAGAGATGGCCTCTGCCCCTGAAGCATTTAGTCTCCCTGGAAAGATGAAAATGTACATGCACCAAAAAAGAAATACCGTAGAAGCCATCAGGAGGGGCTGACATTTGACCCAAGGAGATCAGATTATCTTTGCAGACAGAACATAAACTCCCCTTTTTGCTTTTACTAATAAGCAAAGATTTCTTTAGTTTCAAGAGTGACTATTAAGGATGAAGGGAGGAAAAGAGACTAGCTTCGAGTAAATTGATAGCATTACTTCCAAAAATCATGGTATTCCAGAGTGGAAAAAGAGCTTGGAAAGGAATGCATTTTTATTGATGAGAAAACCAAGGGTCAGCAGGATTCAGTGACTTCCCAAGTTAGTGAATGACAGAGCCATATCTCAAACTGAGGATTCCTGAATCCAAGCACGGTGTTTTCCCTCTACCTAACGAAGAGGGGTTTTCTGAGTTCTATTTCATATAGGGATAAATAATCTCAGGTTCACCATTGTTTTCTCCGTATGATGGTCTTTGGCAGTCAGAGGCAGCAAGACAGAGGGATGTTTCTGAAGTAGACTCAGACACCATCAGGGAATAAAATGTAAATCTTATTTATTTACCATCCCAGACAAGTGCCTAACACATGTTATGGACCTCACTCATTCCTGTTGAAATGACCATCAATTACAAGAGCAATTCTTGTGCTTCTCATTCTACTCCACAAAGTGCTCTGAAGAAAAGAGTAGCCACTGGCCGTGGAAGTGGGCACAGTAGTGCTTCAAGAGACACAAGGAGAAGGGCAAAAGGATTCTGCTACTTTTCCAGCAGAATCTGGATTATTCCACCACTGGGTTCAATAAATGCTTGCCTTTTTATTTGTCCAGTGGAAATGATAAGCTACTGTGTCTCCTATTTCTGTCACTTTTAGCTCAGGTTATCTGACTTCTGATGACTTTAGCCCTAACTCCACTTAAGATTTTGAATGACAAGGCATCCAGTGCAAACCTCCTCCTATCCTATTTATTTGGGGGGGTCCACGTGGGCATAAAATCAAGACCTCAAATTAACTTCACAACTGGATATTTTTCTTCATAGAAAAAGCCATTCATAGTGTTTTTGTGTTTCATAGTGTTCTTTTAAATAAGAAATGCCTGTGGCATATTTCTGTGTGAGGGGACAATAACAAAGTACCTCACTCTAAAGGATGTTATGAGAATTAAATGAAAAATGAGATGAAAACTGTTATCTCACAACTTGGCATATAGCGAATGCCAAAGTTATCTTTTTAAAAATGTTTCTTTATAATATGGTTTAATTTATCTGCAAAGTTATACGGACCCAATGGTGATGTGATAAGAAGTAAGGAACCCCTGAAGGTAATGTGCCTGGTTTTTATTATCTCATTATTTTAGGCATCAAATATTAAGTTTGAAATTCAGATTTGCCTTGATAAGTAGATCTCTTCCTAGGTAAAAGTGATTTTAAGAGTCAATATTAGTAATGCCTGGGGCTGGGAATGTGGTTCAGTGTTAGAGTGGTTGCCTAACTTGCACAAGACCCTGGGTTTGAACCCCAACACTGCAAAAAAAATGATAATTATAATAATAGTAATTTCTGCCTTACACACACACACACACACATACACACACGCCTGCCACCTCTCTCTGTCCCTTAATACAGCCTGTATGCTTCAACCATCTGTCTTCTTATAGATCCCCCCCACGTCCCCACACAGTTGGAAGATATCAAGGCCTTGCTCTCAGCCACTGGACCGAACCTGCCTTCAGTGCTGACATCTCCTCTGGGAACACAGCTGGTCCTGGATCCTGGGAATTCCGCTCTCCTTGGTGAGTCCAGCCCTCTGAAACATTGGGCAAAAATCCAGGGCTGGACAGGATTTATGGATGGGTGACTACTTGCAGGTGGGAGGAGGCAGCAGTGGGGGGTGGCCAACAGGAAATCACTAAATTGCCTACAGAATCCAGACTCACCAGTGGAAACTTGGCTGAGGTTTCCTATGAGGTGAGTGCCGTTCTCAGTCTGGACCCTACAGCTTGTCTAGATTCCAATATGGTTCCTTTCTGAGTTAACTTGGGCTGATGCCACAGCTCAGATCCTCTTGATGAGGCTGACTCAGTGAACTTTGAGAAAGGTACAGCAGTAAAGGACTGCTCCTTTGTCTCCTCTCCCATTCTCCAGTACCCCTATGGTTTCCTCCTACCTAAACAGAGCTATAATCAGCTTTCAAGGACAAAGCTGCAATGTCAGCACCCTTCTACAGCCCATGATTCTGTTTGGGCCAGCCTTCTATATATAACACAGTCTGACATCAGCCCAGATGGATTCCTCAAGGCAAAACCTCCCTGGCTTTTAGCATCGGGAATCTTCACCAAATTGTTGCCTACGGGACAGGTGTCCTCTGGTAGCAGAGAATTGTGCAAAAGCATCTGAGTCCTCTCACCAGAAGCATGGAAATGCCAAAGGAACCTTCACTCATGACCTCTGGAAATAATCAAGGTGGAGAAAGGACTTCTTTTCTCCGACAAAGTGTTGGGGGAAATGAGCCTATGAATGTTAGGGGCAGGGAGAATATAGGAAAGCTCCGTGCCTTCCTCTTGATTGAGCTATGAACCCAAAACATAACACTGCTTAAGATGAGGATAAAAAAAAAAAAAGAAAGAAAAGCTTTTAACTACTTTTAAAAACAGTAAACAGTAACAACAAAGCCTGCAAAGTGTGGGAAATCTTCACACTAACTCTCTGTGACCTCAAATGTTGATAATTGTAACTAGAATTGTTCCCTTGGCTCAAAGTTTAAAGTTTCTCTACTCTTCTACCCAGGAACTAACAAATAACAAAGTCAAATGGTTTTCTGGTTGTATTGGTGATAACTTATCAACATGGCCAAAGAAGGACCTCATGAGTTGAGAATTAGAGCCCAAAGAAGTACCTTTAATTTTTCATTATCATCTGAAATTAGCAGAGTCCTCATAGCTTATCAGCATATGGAAAAGACTTTTGATTTCTCTGTTTCTGATGCGGAGAAAAAATTAAGACCCAAATACAGTTAACAAGTAGCCATTTTCTGTTTCCCATAACTTAGAAAAGCTTGGCCTTGAGTTTTTCCATATCACAACAATCAAAATTCATAGAAGTTTCAGATTGCATAGTTTCTTTGGCTTATAAATGGCAAACTTATTCCAAAGTAAGGGTGTGCATTATGAATTTCTTTTTAGTGATGAGTTTTAGACTCATCCCTATAAAAAATTATCATAACTATTCATCACAACTCAGTCACCAGCAACTGTTTAGTTTCAAGTTGAATAACTCTTTTTGGTCACTCAGGCGCCATTCAACATGCTGGAAAAGTTAATCTGCTCATATTTTTTTCCATGATAGCTTTACTTTCTTTTTCCTTTATTCTGGAATAATATTTTGTCTCATTTTAGCCATGGGCAATAAGAATTTATTGTGCTTTATGCTCCTGCATTCCACTACTAGTTTATGGTGCTTTGTTACCTAAGACTGGCATTTAAATTTAACAGTTAAAAGACTCCTTAATATCATAGTCCATAACCAGAATGCTCCATCTGAATGAGACAGTGAGTCAGTACCCATAAAGTCCCTGAATGTAACTGCCTGGGAAAAATGGATACTTAGCAGTGAATGACGGTGTTGCATCAACACTATTACAGAACCAGGGAGATCTGCATAGAATTGTGGAGGCAAACTAGGGAGGAGAGTGATGTCAAATATCAGGACTTAGAGAAGGAGGTCATTTGAGACAGACCAGAGTTTCTATGGTGTTTTGGAACTGAGCACTTAAGGATGAATGAGATTGAAATAGTCAAGAAGAAAGTGAAATGGCATTCATGGTAAAAAAAAAAAAATACTATGCATCCTGTGCAAAATATCTTCCAATATTTGTTCAGAATCGGCCGTGGTGCTGCACTGCTATAAGGCTAAGGACAGCTGTGTGGCTGCACTGCTTTAAGGCTGAGGACAGGCAGTTAAATGGGGATAGAAACTACGCCATCAATACCAGCAAACCTCAGCTGGATTGGTCCACTCAGCAGTCCTCATGCCCTCTCCCCACCTTGAGCTCCCAGATAGTGACTCATTCTGATCTGCTAGTCCAGTTGATAATGCTGGTTACCTTGACAAGTCCTGCTTCCCTGAATGCTGAAGTATAACAGAGAAGCATGCCCACGCAAGTGTAGAATAGAAAGTAAGAGGCTTTATTGAAGGATAGCAGGTAGAACAGACTTCTCCTGGAGGATGAAGGGGATCCAAAAGGGGGAATCCATGGGATGAGGAAATCCCATCCTTTATATATTTAAGGTTTTCTTTGTCCTTCTACATTCCAGTCCTTTATCTTGCATGTGATAGGGGATGCAGGTGGGAAGGCCAAAAGGTGGGCAAAAGGTGGGGAACAGGTGGGCTGATGGGGCAGGAGAGGAGTGATCCAGGCAGGAAGAGGCCTAGGCTGAATTGACTAGCACTTCCCCACCTGCTGGGAGTTGCTTCATTAACAGTTCTTTAGGATGGGCCAGGGCCTTGGGGACTCTAACATTTAAATCTCCCAGGTGCAGTTTCTGCTTTCCCAGACTCAAATCGGATTCCATTTTCTTTATTAGATTCGACTCCATTTTCTCTATTAGACCCAATATCAGACGCGATTTGCCTAACTACACTAACTATCTTTAAGTCTGGTTTCACAGTCATTCCCAGTCAGACAGGCTACCATACCTGGCTCCTAAGGGTAACCCTTTCAGACCAGAGTGTGTGCTCTGAAATAGGTCATAGAGACCCAAGAGGTGGTTTTTATGCAAGGTTGCTAAGAAACAGAAACAATAAGCTAAGCAGCATCAGATTATGGAGGGCCTTGATTGGTAGGCTAAAGAAGTAGATTTACTACCCTGGGAAATAGGGACAGATGTTGAGATGGTTTTTAAATAAGAAAACGATGTAGTAAAACTAATGTGCAAGATTGCATCTGACTTTCCATAGGAATAATCAATAGTAGGGGAGATTGAATGAAGAAATCCGACGTTGAGGGTAACAGGTATTCTAGACCAAAGTGGAAATATGTGGCAAAGATACTGTCAATCACTCTCCCACAGCCTAGGCATCCCTAATTATGATGCTCTTCTTTACTCAGTCAGGTAGAGCCTTGGGATTCATTTTAACATTCCCACCAAGCCCAGTGGCAGTTCATATACAGGATGAAAGTCATTTGCTCACTCTGTTGAGGCCAGTAAGTGGTGAGATTCAGGTGGAGGCATTTCTCCCATGTGCTAGGGTAGCCAGCTGTAACAGATTCGTGGTTCTATAACACTGCGTGGTTCTGTGGCACAGAGATGGCAACTCATGGACTTTGATTCTCCTCTTTCATGGGAGGAAGGGGAGAAAGGAGATTTGGGGGTCTTTAAAGCCCAGTTTCAGAGCTAACTCTTCTTCACTGAGACTTGAGTATTCAGATTCCACTAGGTGAATTGATTGAATAAATGGCTACTTCAGTTATCAGACGCGCTGGCTTGGATTCCCCTTTAAGTCTTTTGACTAGGCAACACAGGCATGCACCCTTCTGGGCCTGAGACTTCATAACCATAAAATGGAAATGAGGCTTAAGTGGAAGATGCCCAGTGGGGCCTTAGCCGCACAGAGTGGACCCACCCTCACTGGATCCCTGGATCCATTCTCCTAGGCAAGAGAAGTGCTTTTTTTTTGGGGGGGGGGTCTTATTTACAGTGATCTTCCCCCCCCCACCCCAAACAGAGGTCAAAACTGTCAGCTGCTCTGGAGAGCAAGGCCCATGCCACCATCTTTGGTGGTCAAGGCCTAAACCAACACTGCCCAGGGCTCCATTTTTACAGGCGCAGCATCTCAGGCCTCCCTGAAGCTCCTGAACCTTTTTTCAGCCTTCAGTTAAATATTGGTTTTGGCTACCAAGGTCTAAGTCTATGATTTCTTATAGTATTCATTTATAGGGTATTAGCATCGATTTTTTTTAAATGACTTTATTTTTATTATAAGAGCAATACATCTTCATTGTACAACAATTAAAAATACAAGTGAGAAGAAGAAAATGAAAATTATCTATAATTAACTAACCCTGAGAGAAGCAGTGCAAATCCCTTTTTCCTAGACATTAATATATACATTTTATATTTTTTACCTAAAATGAAATGTACTCTCTATACTGCTTGTACATTTTTTCACTTACAGAAATATAGCAAAATTTTCCATGTCTCTTAATGTTTTTCTACGGTTTCACATTTAATGGCTGCATTGGCAGGAGATATCATGTTTTATTCAACAAGTTCTCTAGACTTGGATTTTTAGGTTGTTTGCAATCTGTTGTTAGTATTTTTAAAATAGATATGGTAAAAATTCTTATTTCTAAGTCTGGGTGTGATTCTTGTTTACTCAAGATCAATTCCCAAGAAGTAGGATTACTGTGTCAAATGCTTTGTATAATTTTGGGTTTTGTTGAATGTTGTCAAATTACCATCCAACAAAGTTTTTCTGTTGGTTTGTTTGTTTTGGTTCTGGGGATTGAACCCAGGGGTACTTTACCACTGAGTCATATCCCCAACCTTTTTTATTTTTCACTTTGAGACAGATTCTTGATAAGTTGCTTAGGACCTCACTAAGTTGCTGAGACTGGCTTTGAATTTGCGATCATCCTACCTCAGCCTTTTAAGTCACTAGGATTACAGGCATTTGCCACAACACCTTGCTCCAATAAAGTTTTATCCACTTGTATGCTCCCCAGAACTATATGAAAGAACCCATTCCTCCAAACATTATCAACTCTAAATATGGCCAAGAGTCTTTACATGTA